ATTAAAACACTAAAAATTTCCACTGAAATAGAAAATTCCTCGTTCACATTCGTTTATTATATATCGAAATATATACGGCTCTCTTTAATAAAATTATACTATTTAAAAAGAAGAACATTACACGTTAATAATTATTCTAATTTTTTTTCTTCAATACTTATCTTATACCAGTATTGTTAACAAATATGACGATCGATTGCAGTAAAATTGACAATGAATAAAAGTGATAAATTCTGTTCAATAGATTTCTGAATCTCTTCCAAAACTTTAAGATATTTTGAAAAAAGGAATTACAACATTTTCATACTTTGAAAAAAATTTACTTTGTAATGAAAAGCTTTCCTGTTTGTAATGTAAAAATTTTGTCCAAATAATCCAAATAACTTAATATTATCCATATTTTCATAGTAATACAATCCGTTGCAGTATTAATTAGATTGAATTAAATAGAAGTTCAATTTACCTTCACGTCAGCTTTCGTACTTTTAATTTCATGCTCAAGTGGACGTAACAAACAAGCTCCAACAACGGAATGCAACGCCCATCCTCCAACGATCAGCATCGTTCCACGAAATCCGTACGAACTCAGAAGTAGATGTATTAACTGTAAACGAGGGAGCAAATCAACGTAATTGTTTTACATTTGCCTACTGAAATCATTCCTCAACGGATAAAAAACAAGAATGAACTTATCGCGTTACATATTTCGGAAGATTACAGAACGATCGCGTGTTTTCTCTAATGACGTATCTCTAATATCGTATCTCAAATCTAGATCAAAGCTGAAACTATATTTCGTACTTGAGGTACTATCATCATGGCCAGAGTAGTCCCTGCCATAGAGAAACCGACGGCTTGCCCTCTCTTCTTGTCGAAAAATGTGTTCAACGCCACGAACGACGAGGCGATGGCTAGTCCAGTTCCTAAACCTGTCGCAATTATATGAAAATGAATAAACCGATGGATAAAAAAAATGTCTTGATTTGTTTAAATTTTATTCTATCATCCTCTAACTTTTACGTCAAGCATTAGTGAAATTTATAGAGAGTATAGAGAGTGGACACAGACAGTGTTGTCATCAATCTGAAAGAGTACATTCTGATGGAACTACGTTTGATTAAAGATCTGTTTGAGATGATGATATTTGATGTAACATTGTGGCGTGAAAATACGTGCAACTTACATATAAAACCTTGGAATTAGCATGTTTGAAAGGCAAAGGCTTATCTTGGTTTTCTCACCTCCTAAAATACTGTAAGTGCAAACAATGTGGAGTATGCTGTTAGCTCTCGACGTCAATATCAGTCCGGTACAACTCAAAAGCGATCCAAAAAAAGCCACTTGTCGATAAGAATACTTTTTCAACAACGGCCCTACTAAAAGACCTAAATAAATTACGATAAAACGGAAGAGAATTATAATAAGAAATATAACAATAACTATAATGAGAAAATAATTGCATCTACTAAATATTGGAAATGTCTAAAATTGACGGTGAAATATAATTCTTGTATTTTAATTTTGTTTCAATTTCTATAATTTACAATGCAGAAAATAATACTGGCTTAGTCATGGAATAGCATTTGTAACAACGAAAAAGTTACATTATACTTGGATTTATTTTTTATTTCATTAAATACGAGATCTAGATGAGATTTCAAGATCGTTAATTACAAGATCTAAAAATACCTGAAAAATTAACGATAGCATCGAGAATGCTCATTATGAATGACGCTTCTGTGGAGTCAATGTCGAATTCCTCAAAGGGATCGTGGAAAAGGAGACCAAACGAGGGATCCAAAGATCTTAAAGAGAGCTGGAAAACACGGAATTGTAAAATCTTTTTACGTCGTATCATCTGTGCTGTTGCAAGCATCGTATTATTTTTCACACATTTTCACGGAGATTCAATGGAAATAAGAATATAAATGTGAATTATATACATCACACTGGGTAATTATCAATCTTCTATGCATCATCACCGTCATCAGTGTAGTTTACTTTTATTGATTGTAATTTAATGTGATTCGAAGTAATTTAATGCAATTATATATTATGTAACATAGAGTTATAATGTCAAAATACAAATAATATTAGAATATCCAATTAATTCATATGTAATTGAACGTTCTTTATTCTTAATTAAAAGCTTTGAGAGTAATATTATCGTGTGATATGTACAAATCGTAAGTGAAAATTCAGTCATGTTGATACAGATGTTTCTATAATAAGGAAGATAGTCAAATTCAGATATGACGAACTGAAATATAAGTAAAGTTCGTGTACTGTAGTAAGTGGCTCATAAAATTATGCGAATGCACGCAGTGAATTTTCATGATCATATTACGTAATACTTCGTGATATTCTAAATACATTATATAATTCAACGTACTTTGAAACGTGAAAAATATGGCTGCATTTGGGACAAATCTGAAAATGTATATATAGAGATTGCGAAATATTTATTTATAAGAGTTGCAACAATCAAAGTACATATTAACAACCAGTTGTAATATTAATTATACTTTATATACATTTCCAGATTTACATTTAAATTTCACACAACGCGCTCAAGGTACAAAAGAATCATTGATAATAAGTATATTCGCATTCAGTTTTACGAGCCAACACGAGAACACAAGAACATGATAGTTAACAATGAAATATCGTTACCGTGACGAGACTACTGCCGAGACAAACGAACCATGCCCAACCACCATCGATCTCTTCCCTCTTCTTATCACCAGGATTCATCTCGTTCGGTTCCAATTATGCTCCCACATATGCGATCGCTGAGTTCGATGCACGAACTGTCAGCAATATGATCGGCCCCGGTACGCGATATACGATGTGGAAGAATTAACACTAGTTGCGATCGTTCGCTGATTATTTCATATCTCGAGATATAGATTAGTCACCGCCTCTTCATTCACTGCTTAATGATCGGACACGTATTACCAGGTGTACCAGCTCGATCGTTTCTTTCGCTTCTTGCTTCGATTAGGCACTGACGAGCCACTGTCATGCCGCCTGAAACCGATTCGTTCCTCGTGTGCCCCTCTTTGTTCTATCGGTCCGTGGAAGAACAAACGTGCGTTACATCCTTTTCTGGGATTTACAACGCGGGAAGAAAAGGAAAAATGTGCTCGTCATTGATACAAATTGGTGTTTCATTGGAACGTTGCCTTTCGAGGAATGAGGAATATGTCCGTGGCTGATATCATTCTCTCGGCAAAGGCTCGATCTTTCTTTTCGCGAACGTACGATTGCAAAATGCACTCGCGATGCTGCCACGAGTTCTCACGATTGCATGGTTTATACAATAGCAAAGAAAGTGTGGAACGTTAATGCGAAGCATTATCCATTTACACGAATGATCATAGTAGTATTCATTTCGTGACAATGTACATAGTAATTGGCTTGCGTTTGATAGTAATTTATAAAATTGGAAAAATTTGTTCCACATGCATCTGACCTTTCACGTATTTACAAATAGCTAATAAAAATACAAATGCATTTTTGTGCATGTAACTTATCAATCGTTTAGTGTATTAAACGGCAAATTGGGAATAACATTTATTTCTGAACTGAAGTTGCATTTTCTGCAGACATGTAATTTTACACATCGTTACATTTTCAATGTAAGTTTCCATCGTGCACAATCTCCGTCATTGTAAATCTTCATAAGTTGTAAATGATATTTAAATCGTGAATTGAAGAAAAATTAAATCTCTTATCTACAGTTGCTCACGGAAATACTCGATTTGTAGAAGAATTTTTCATGATTACATTTTCAGATTGGCCTCAAAACTTAGTTACTTCTATACTGTTAGCGAAATTTCGAAGTTTTATGTAACACAATATATATAATTTTTCTACGGTAAGTAATTCGAATACTTTCATAAACTACATTGACAATGTTAGTTAATGTTCGTTAAGAAAAAGAAAGCACATATGTTCTTGTGAGAACGTTTTAAAACTCTGATATGCACAAACATTGTAACGTTAAATTATTACGTAAATGCAAAATTCTTCTATTTGATTTATATTTTACAGTTTTTCATAAATTTGTAAACATTCGAAGAAGAAGAA